ACCGCACCGCACCGCACCGCACCGCACCGCACCGCACCGCACCGTCGAGAAAAACCACACAGTGAATATTCCTGCAGAAAACGTCTGCCCTGGGGTGTAGGGGCGATAGTACAAGACTTGATATCGGCTAAACGGCAGCGTGCTGAGACAGGAGAAGCTGCATCAGAAACCTGGGGCCTGCTGTCTACTGCGCCCGTGCTTATCGGCCCAAAATACTTCGGTGAAGGCGTTGTGGGGGGAATTCCTTGGAAAGGGACATGTTGTACGACGGCTTCGGGTACCTGATGTGTTAACTCGGGCCGCGCCAAGCAGCAACACACCCACCCACTCATGAAATAGTTTGCCAAGACCGCCCTCGGCGTACGGAGAGGTTGGGTTAGGGATTCTTGGGGGATTGATATGGACGAGCACGATGAAAGGAAGATTGATAACAACCGAGTGTATCCGCGCAGATCATATCCCGTGGGACCCGTTCCTGATAAATAGGTGTTGATCGCTGATCATGGGTATAGGTACAATACTTATGAACGGCTCTCGCTTATGCAAGCTACACCACAGCGAGAGATCAGCTATTCTTATTTACAGCACGACAGAAGTGTGTTCGCAAACGACTCTTTGACCACTTACACTTCCGTGATCGTGCTTCGCCCTGCCGTGTCTAAACATCGGCTTAGATCCTCGAAGTCTTCGTCGCCTAGCCCGCAATATCTCACGTCGCTGACGACGTCGCGGAATCAAGGCGTACGAACGAAGGCAAGTTGATTAGGCTAGCCCGTCCGTGTGGTAGAGGTCGAGTGGCAACGAAGGGGTGTCTTGTGCAACGGGTCAACTTGATGTCAAATGATTCGCGACCTGATTGAACGCTCGATGTGTGTTGTCTGCGCCGACCATGCTGGTATGTGTTGATCGGATTCGGTACTATCGCAGCCTTTTCGTTACGTTCTCCGTCCTAGCCTCTACCAAACACCTCCGGGTAGAAAATCACGTCACCGTAAACTCACACATCGGTTGTACCAAAGGTACACCGGCCGCTGTCGCTCTCCAGGCAAGGATGCACGCCTGAGACGTAAGAAGGATCATGGGGCAAGAAGAGGAGCACGTGCACATGTTGAGCAAGGCAGAACAACCATCGACATCTTGGCCGATGGGGACAACGAGTCAAGTCACGATTGGAGCACCCGGTAGAGTGCAAGGCCCCGATCCCGTGCCCATCTCCGTACCGATAGATCCGAGCGTTGTACCTGAGGATTTCGGCCATTATAATTTGAAGCAAGCAAAAGCGTACGCCCAAAGCCCAACCATGTACTGAATGAAGTCTAACTCTTAATATCGGTACCATCAGCCTCTTTTCGAACCACCTGCATTTTACTATAGAAACAATGTGGTGGAATGTATGACCCAGACCATCTCTACGGCGTAGTCGATGTCGTGGTCCTCAGGCGGTTTGCCTTCACATGTTGGGTCAGGTAGTTTGCTTTCGCATGTTGGGTATTACCGTATTCCAGACAACAAACGTTTGCCAACTACGCCCCCACGTACAGTCAGGACAGCCAACTCTTGGATACAGGGCCCCCGCTACTGCGCGCTGCCAGAAAAACACAAGGGGCAGTCTTTAGCAAACAATAGTCAATCCTGAATTGTACTTGTTCCTTATTGTGAATTGTGCGACAGAACCACGTGCACGTCGAAACATTTCAGATTGGCGAGGGAGGTAAAAACGCCCTCACCTTCTGCGACGGTCGAATACACCAGCAGCAGGAGAGACCAAGGCAGGATCATGGCCAGACTCCTGCGGAGGAGATCCAACGTCAAACACACCATTCTGAAGCAGATTGATTGGTATATTCGAATTTTTCAGCATCATACTCTCGGGACTCCACATTGACTTCAACGACACAACATCGTAGGGCGGCGTCGAACAACCAGCACTTCAAGGAGAACAGTCGACACAACGTTTTCCCACTTCGGTAGCAGTGGATGCAACTCATTTTTGCAACCACGGAGAGCATGACTCAGCGCTGAGTCAAGCCATGCACCCCAAGTTCAAGTGAGACCCTGGCACCATATCATACGCCAACAGAGAGACAACATGCGATGTCCGTCCTGTAGATATTTAGCAGTTCTGAGCGTAGTCGTGCGCTCCGGGGCGATTACGAGCATGTGGACCGAAGGGTCAGATGGGCCACACGTGGTGGTGTTCGATGGATCCATGGAAGCAAACAATTGCTCTAGACTAGGGACCGTTGGGCCCCCGCCCCCCAATGGGGCGGGCGGTCAGCATGCGTGGGATGGATGCGGCGGTTTGGTAGGCAGCGGAAGTAGACACGATGATGACATTGCTATCGAAAGAGGGTACTCGAAGTCGACTTAGGTTGGTAGACGATGTGAGGTCGATACGTCCGTCCGTCCGTTGCGTAGACTAGATCGGTGTTTTGCAAAAAAAAAATGAAAACGAAAGGGGTTTTCGTGGAATGGTCGATGCCCGATCACAAAAGGTGAAGCAGACGGAAGACGGGGGTGGGGAAAATTTTGAGGAAGGAATTTGAGGGAATGGGGAAAAAAAAGACGACGCCAATAAGAAAGCGAGAAAAGGTAAGGGGCCGTTGTCACCGGTGGCCCTGTATGCGTGGATGAAATTTACTTGTGGCGGTGTCGTATCCGTCGGTACGAGTGGTGGTTGTCGGGCCGCCGGCAGCGAAGTCCGGCATAACCGAAGTCCGTATGCACCGCAATACGATACTTTCTCTGCTCGGAAACATATGGTCGGGTGTAAAGTTGTGTGGAGACCACCATATTAATATAAAATGTACTACAGTATCTCCTCAACGGCTATCGAGGACGAATCCTTCTTTCACAATGAAATGGCGTCGACGTGAGATGTCAGAGAGTAAGCTTTTATGCATAGTTGAAAAAGATTCGGGTTCAAAATCCCGCTGCTCACCAACTTTTCTTAAGGAAAAAACGGAAAAAAAGAAAAACGGTGGATGGGCCAAGAAGGACGCACTGGTTACCGAACTCAGAACTTGTGATGGGGAGATGACGGACGTAGCGAACCCACCCGTGTATTCACCCACAGAGGATTGTGGAGAAGTGAATCGCCCCGCCGCCCCGAGCCGGTCGGGTTCCGGTTACCTAATGGAAGACTTCTCTTGCCTAGCAAACAACAACAATGTGGATACCTTCATAAGGAAAGGTACTCTCTCCCCAACGTCTGTCGAGGACGATTGATTCTCCTTCTTTCACAGTTAGTTGGGAAATCCGGGAATATAAAAGGCCGGTTGTTATATTTAAGACGCTTAGAAATCGGTTCCTTGGGAGTATATTCATTTCATCATCCTCGGACGGGATAGGCGGCCAAAGGAAAAATATCAAAGATAGGGGATGTTGAGCTCATCATCCCCTCCCGTGAGCAATTAACTCCGATACTACATGTATCTCCCGAGAACATGGTTCGTAAGGAAGGGGGGGGTGTCGTATGTTCTCTCTAGTTTTCTTGTTTATTGTTTTGTTATGTGTTTTTGGTGACATATGCTACGTGTACAACCACATCTTGAAGAATCTTGAGAAGTTCTTCGGTGTTGACCGGGACCAAACATTCAGGGTGGCAACAATGAGCAAGTTGGACGGGCAATGACGAAGGGAAGAAATTGCTTTTTCGGGAAAAAATGTGTTTTGAGCGGGAATTGAACTCATTACCTTGTGTGTATAGATTGCCTGAATCGGCCTTCCTCATATTTCCGAGCAGAGGGAGTAGTGTTTTGAATATAATGTATTGCAACAGGGATAGACTACATATACAATACGCGCATTCGCTAGTAGTCCACAGCACGCCGAAGTGTTGCAGTTGTCCTATACGTTAATGGACGTAAAAAGACACATCGATACCAAGAAATCACACCTACCTGCCTATCGTTCTCTTCTTCAAGTACTACCGGTACAACTCTTGTACCATTCACTCCTCCACCTACTACTTAGACATTTTTTCGCCATTTTCCTTTCTCAGGACCCCACCCACACCCACCCGTATTCACATCTATCTCCGACGGGCAGACCGAACAATACGAATACGTGGCAACGGTTGCACCAACTCCGAGTCACAGAAATATTAAGATGTCTCTCCTAAGTGAGTCCTCACTCGCAACATCTCCTATCCCCTACCTTCGAAAGAAAAGGGGAAAGGGGCGGGGGGCGGGAGAAAAGCTACGAATTTCTGCTAGCTAGGTCCAACTTTCGATGTAGCTAGCTGCTGCCCTCCCGCGTGACCCTCTGGCGCGGGCTGCGTGTTACACGCTGTGCATTCCTCATCACGTGGCCCTTGGGTCCAGTAGACTCGCGTCTATCAAACTCTTGCTGCAGGAGCAGCGAGGCAGCGGAATGAGAACTCCGTGAGACCTTTCTCTTTGTAAGACCCCAGAAAACCAAACCAAGACAACCCAACCAACACGCCTCCAGGGCGGCACAACAAGAACCCAAATACAAACGTAGATCTGGGAGATGTTCCGAATTCTTCCGTGCACAATAAACAAACTACATTTTATTCGGTCTTCGACAACAAACTTTTATTTTTCGGCATTACCCAGCGTTTGAGCGTACACGGAAAAAAAAAGTCGAGCTTGTACACATACAGTACAGTAGCCGATATTTTCCCCGTACTATTCGTAAGATGCGTCGCTGTAAAGCTAACTCTACACTCGCTTTTGCAGCGAGCGCCAAATCTATGATATGAGAAAGGTAGGTACAATAATACCGCTTCGGAATCTCTGCCCCGCTCGTTTTGTGTGTTGCCATCTTTGCTCCTCAAAGGATCCATGCTCGTCGGTACACCCACACACATTACATACCCAACGTGCAACGCAACATGCAATCTAGCCATGGGCATGCCGTGTACCTGCAGCGGTAAAGTGGTCAACATGTACATCATGACTATAACGTCATACCGACGTTGTGCTAGAGCGGGTAGGTGCAGAGTTGTACAGCGACGCACGTGTTGCATTCAGGGATGGCCACAGCACGGCGAAGTACATACACAGCGTTTCAGGTATCATACCTCGGTGTTCACAAGGTGGTTTCCACCGGAATGTACACAGTTCACGGGTTCGTTTCGTGCCACAGTGTCGACTCGTTCTGATTGATTATTGAGAAATGGTGCCGCCGCGTGGCATTTTATTCCATCGCACATGATGATGTTTGATTGTTTTGACGTTACATAATCCAAGGCTGATGGAAAGTCGGTGGCCGTAGATAACGAGATGCACCGTTAGTTGTGCACAACTGATCCGCCTCCTCTGTCGGGCTCTTCTTGTTGTTGCATGTTGAAATACAGCGCATTACTGCTGTAGGATGTGTGTAGTAGAACAGATGCAGCTGTATGATTGCTGTATTAAGGAATAATAAAAACACACACAGAAAGACTACCCATTCGAGATATATACACAGTCGAACGGGATGTCGTGGAGTCTATTCAGTGAGTGGAGGGAAACCGGCTGGGTACTGGAGTACTGGACTTATTTCGACATGCAATGATACGTAGATGCGGTGTGATATGTGACGTTTGGTTATACGTAACATGTGTGACGAGTTCTGGTAACATACATTACTAGGGTTACTTAAGGATTGCCCCCCCGCCCCCCAATGGGGCTGGGGGCCAACATCCAGGACGGATGGTGGTGAGTGTCCGGGAGGAAGGAAAGAAGAAGAAGAAGGGGAGAAGATTTGTTGGGGCGGGAAGAAGGGACGGTGTTGGGAGAGGCAAGGAAGTGGTGAAGAATTTCGGCACTCGACGAGCGCGCGGTCCCGTCGGGGGTGAAAGGGAAATGTCAGTCCGTAGTCTTGTCTCAATCGGAATCGAAAAAAAAGCCGAAAAATCGAGGTATGTATACATTATGTACATACCGATGGAGAAGGCCGACGAGGAAGGTACGAAGAGGAAATTGCACCTCACGTTCGAAGTCGGTGTGAAAACCGCCGCAAGGAAGGAGTGCGGAGGGAACAAAAAAAAACCCGGAGACGTCGACGTTTGCGTAGTGGAACGATCCTTCCGTATAACTAACGCAGGTACTCACCAATGCAAGACAAAGAGGTAAAATACCCATCGTGAAAGTCAAAGCGCAGGTAGGTAGGTCATAACTGCATATGACTCATGCGCGGAGAAGTTACCACGGAGACTTATCAACAAGCAAGAAGTTTGAAGGCCGGCTGAGAAGGTTTGAAGCCACAAACACTTCAGCGACGATGGCAAGCGCAACGTCAAAACTTCACAGGAAGAAAAGTGCATATAAGAAAAGTGCATACAAAAAAAGAAAAGGCCGGATGCCGACCTGTGGCTCTCTCGGAATGAAGGGATTCATTCCCACAATTTCCAAGAGGTAATCCACAAGTAAAATCTCTGTTCCAAATTTTTAAAATTTCCAAATTACGATTCCAAATATTTGGAAGCCAGCAAGATTCATTTCAAACGCGCTGCACGGCAACTTTCCAAATAAATCTCGCCGCGTGTGATGGCGAGTGGGCATGCGCCTATAATCCCACCACGCTCTCCACAGACAACGTCCCCACACGCGCGACACCACGGGAGGGCCCAACATAGATCGAGTTAGTGGTCACCTAGGGCAAATCCCGGCTGGATGCAGCGAACAGGGCGATTAACGGCGCTGCTGTAGGTCCAGCCGCTTTCGGTTTTCCGTGCTCGGCAGGCCGCCAGACAACCACCTCAGGCCAAGGCGAGCAAGGGCGAAGCAGCAAGATGCTGAGAGCATGTCCTCCTTGCTGGATATCGTCAG